TAATGTTTGTAGTCCTGTGCTCCTGAAGCCCAGACCTCAAAAGTTAGGACATTTACCATTTGCGTTTCTAAGTAATTTCCTTTATTATAATTTTATTTAATCGACAGTTTTCGATCAAACTATTATTTGAAATGTTTTTGTTGTGGGTATTGATTTTAGTAAACTTATGCAGAAAGACTTTATGACTAGAGATATTTTAACATTTTTTATATATTTGGGTAGAGTTGAATGCATACCAAATGTATAGCGGCTAAATGGTTTACCTCAATAAATTTCATTTTAAGCTACATAGTTCGGGGGGTGGCATAGTGATGTAGTGGTTAGCATTGTTACCTCATACCTCTGGGGCCAGGGTTCAAGTCTCTGCCTGGGTTACATGAGTGTTGAGTTTGCATGTTCTCCCCATGTTGTTATGGGGTCTCTTCCAGTACTCCAGGTACTCTAGTTCCCCCCTCAATCCAAAGACATGCTGAGGCTAATTGAAGATACTAAATTGCCCATAGGTGTGAACGGTGTGAACGGTGTGTGAGTGTTCCCTGCCTCATACCCATAGCTTCCAGGATAAGCTCCGGACCCCCAACAACCCCAAAGGATAAGTGTTTGGAAGATGGATGGATGGATGGATGGATTACATAGTTTGGTTATTATATTGTAGCAACCTAGTAAATGTGGAAAAAAATGCACCAAGTTAAAAATTCTCAAAAAACAGAATTAAATTCCATAGATAAAAATCATATATGATTGTAGATTCAATGAACCAGACTAAAATCTGGAAAGCATTCAGACATAACAATCTTATTTACTGACGTCAATATAATGCATTTCAAAGCAAGTATATCCCCAGTTCATTAAAAAAAAAAAGATACTACTTTAAAATCCTTTTGTAAAGACACAGATATTTAGATGTTTGTGTTTTAGAAATTCATTCTTTGTTTTATCAAGCCAATTTGGCAATTTGGGGCTTGGTAATCTCAGAGCTTTGGCAGGCTGTGGACAATGTGTATGTAGCCCAAAGGCTGTAAAGCACAATTACAATGATGAACAAATGAGAAATGGACAGATATTTGTTTGTACAATATGTTGTCAATTATATGTAGGAAAAAAATAGAAATTCCAAGATTTAACTAGGTTATGTTTATTTTTTATGCATTATACTAATTCTCGTAATCAGCATCTGCCACACACACACATGCACACACAGTCGGGTAAACATATCTTTATGGGGACCGCTCATTCATTTCTATGGGAAAAATGCTAACGCTAACTATGACAACTTTAAGCCCTGCACAGCCCTAATCATAACTATAGATAACCAAGCAAAATACAAGAGTTTTTCCCCATCACATTGTGGGGACATTGTGTCCCCATAAGGTAAGATATACCCGCTCACACACACACACACACACACACACACACAGAGAGACATACACACGTTTGTATTCATATCTCTGTGGGGACTATCCATTCGTTTCTATGGGCAAAACCCTAATCACAGCTATGACAACCTTAACCATTACCCAGCCCTAACCATAACCATAAGTAGCCAAACAAAATACAAGACACTTCACTCGACGGGGTACAATTGCATTGCAATAACTCAATTACTGCTGAAGTACAAATCATGAACAAATCATGAACAGATATATCCACTATGTGAGCTAAAATATGCATCAAGATTCATTAATGATGAACAAACATGACATCAGTACTTCACTTGTGGTATTCATTACTTGTTCCTTCAGTAGTTTCATTAACAGATATAGTTACAAATACAGTAATTGCTTGGAATAAAAGTTGCATCATGACTCATTAATGATGAACGGATATGAGATCAGTATTTAACTTGTGTTATTCATGACTTGTTCCTTCTGTAGTTCACAAAGGTTTACAGAATGAACAGACATAGTAAATATAGTTACTACTTAAGCTAAAAGATATATCACTATTCATTAATGATGAATTAACATGAGAACAGTAGGTAGCTAAGACTTTGTGGTTAATTAATATCTAGGTAATAGCACACTACCATATTATTTGTGCCCCGTCAAGTAAAGTGTTACCAATACAAGACTTTTGACTAGTTTTGATTTCTGATTGCCGTCATATTTAAAAAATTTAGTTTTCCCTTTTGGGGACCGAAAAAAAAATTAAAACAAAGTAAAAAAGTTACGGGTTTATATCACATTCTGGGGATATTTGGTCTAGATAATGTAATAAATACAAGCCCCCCCCCCCCCCACACACACACACAAACACACAAACACAATGAGTAAGCAGGCACTTGGAGAAGAAAATTGCAGAAGCTGTGAACTTTTTAATCCATTTATTCTGTGTTTTAATCCATCTTGTATTTGTACAAACTACATGGAGCTCACAGGGAACACTTATATTGCAGTATATGCTGTGCTCCTTTATAAAGTTGTAGATCTTGAAGAAATTACCCTAGATATTGAAAAGTATACAGCAGTATTGAGTGTTTATTTTAGAATAATTCATGTCAGTATTTTGATGCCCAATAATCCCAAAATGTTGAGCTTGACATTAATCACCCAGTCTGTACTGCACATTTGTAACTTATCCCTGGCATTACACATACTAGTATGGATTTTAGACCTGTCATGAATTTTAACCGTTTGATAAAGTACTTTTACTACATCTTCAAAGTGGAAAATAATGTTTCGGTTACCACAGTTACTGCTTCAATGTCCAGTTTAATTCAGACCAAAAAAGCAAAACTGCGCCAAATTTATGAGTTTTCTATTTTCTACTCAGTCTGAATTGACATAGATCCGGGACCAGGTGCCCTAGAAAGTGTCACATTTTGCCTGGTGTAACCCTACTTCACATCTTAGACAGCTTTTTGAACTAATTATTTGAGTTGTAATTCACCTCACCTGGTGTTTTTATGTGTGAATGAGACGATAATTAAAGTAAAGTGTGAAAAGCTTGTGGTTTTTGAAGACTGAAGCTTGTTATTGTTTAAGGCATTAAACAAAGACTAAGTGACATCCTCATAATTTCAAGGAAGATTGTCCAAAAAAAGAACCGAACTTATTAATATTCTTCTCCGTCTTTCTGTACTAAAACAGTGTTAAGGTCTGTCTGCTCATGTTTTGATGTTTCTGTGATATTTTAGGACATCAGCAAAATTTCCAGACAAACAGCAGGTAAAATGTCAGCTCTGTGATTAATTGTAACACAGCAGCTGGTGAATAACTTTGCCTGAGCTGAAACAACTTGGCTCTTATTATGATGGATGTTTGTTAAATTAGCCATGTTACAATTTCTTTGCCATAATGAGTGACAGCAACATGCACGTAAACAATGATAACTGTAAAATACTAGAGCTGATTGTCAACCTTTTTTGATATATTGGATAATATTTTTAGTTCTAGCTTGTCTGAATGAAATACAGCTTTGCAGCTTTCACATTATATTCCACCAAAATACAAATAACAACTTCTGTTGAAAAAACAAACAAATAAACAAAACGCAAAATCAAAATTTCAAACATTGTTCCTGCATTATTATATGATTCAAAGGTTTCAGATTTGAATTACACTGCTAGATCGTACACATTTCCTTTGAGTATTCTGGGCTCCTCTTGCAATCCTTCTAAATGGCCTTATTAAATGCAGGGGGTGGCATGGTGGTGCAGTGGTTAGTACTGTTGCCTCACACCTCTGGGTCTTGGGTTCAAGCCAGTCCCATGAATATGGAATTTGCATGTTCTCGTTGTGGGGTTTCCTCTGGGTGCTACTAGCTGTTAAAAGTATCAAATGCTTTATAATCATCACCTTCTTGTCTGATGTTCTTATACTCCAAAGCCTATGCACATGACATCACAACAGGCGGAACTCACTGTGCTCACACCCACTGAATGGCAGTGTTAGTGTTCAGCTTGATCACCAGAGAAAAGCACATCTAACATTTAGTTGATTGTACAAACAGATTTAACATGAAATAGGAGCTATGCCTTTAGAGACAGCCAAAAACTAAATGGGTATCAGACCCTATCCATCAAATAGGTCTGGATTGGTGCCGATACCGATCCGAATATCGTATTGGTGCATCTCTAATCACAAGAGTGTGTGTTAGGTAACATTGTGGAGACTTTTATTTCACTCTCCAAAATGTGCTAAAAAAATTTTTGATGTTGTGGGGCACCATTAATTCAGTCCCCACAAGGCGAAATTCAGTTTTATCAAAATTTTTCACTTCAATCAAAAACCTAAAAATGTCAAAAGTCTTGTATTTTGTTTGGTTACTTATGGTTAAACATAGGGCTGGGTAGGGCTTAAGGTTGTCATTGTTGAGATTTCCCATAGAAATGAATGGATGGTCCACACAAAGATATGAATACAAACGCGTGTTAGCATGTGTGTGTGTGTGTGTGTGTGTGTGTAATACAGTGGACTGGTACCCACTACAAGGCGGCCCCTACCTGGTGCTCAGGGGTGGAATAACTTATTTGGGGGCCCTTCACTGACATCAACATGGACACTCAGGTGTTGCTGAATTAATTAACCACGGACCCTGATGTTTGCTGGGGCCCCAGGTTATAACCTACAGTACGCATTAGCTGGTCCTTGCTGACACCATCTGCTGAGTGGGATACCTACAGGTGTATGTGTTTGTATTTATATACATACTGTACATAGTTACATGCATGTATAAGGGAAGTTTAAATATTATGTGTTTATATGCATTGAGAATTGCTTGTGTTTATCCCAGCATTAAATTTCGTAGCCTTGGTTTGATAACGAATGAAAAACTTTTATTTTACTCTCAGGCCATTTTAAAATATTGGTGATGCCAGTATTTCCTGTCTGTTATTTACTGAGATAAATATCTTTTTCCGCTTTTTTCAGCATTACTTGTGCATTCCATCCTTCATTAAAACGCATGTCTGCCATTGGTCACTGTAGCAACTTGTATAATGAGTCGCTGTTGCTATTGTATAATTTGACATGATTCCTTTTGATTCACTTTGTTTTCAGGAAACTGAGATTTTGGATATCACCTATATCAAAGATGCAAGAAGTGGGAAATGCACAAAACCTCCAAAGGTAAGTAAAACTCTTGTTGAATTTTTTTTAGCCCTATATTTTAAACTTTTCTTTTGTTTTAAACTTGTTTTCCTTTTAAAATCGCCACTAGGCAATAATGTAATATGTAAAGTATAAGAATGAGGCCAATAATAAACTGAGACTTGAGAAAAAGGGTACGTCTGCACTAGTGCGTTAAAAAAGAAAAGAAAAGATTTGTGTCCACACTATACTGTACCATTATCACTACTGTTGAAAAAAACTTCTGTGTTCACACTGCTCTGTGTAATAGGCAAATGATTTAGCTTGCAACTACAACAATAATTAGCTTTAGCATTTGTGTAATTGTGTATATTGTATATAAGTGTGGTTGTTAATGTATGAATTTATGACATTTTTCATTTGCACATTTAACCAAAGCTTTTTATAATATATTTTTAGAACTTTGTATTTTGTTTGTTGTAGCTGGAGCACAATGTGTCATTTGCATTTTTGAGCGTCCACGCTAATGCGTTTACAGAAATATTAGTTGTCAGCGCTGAAATTTTTCTCTGCTTCGGAAAATAAGGTCCGTGGTGGTACGGATGGAAGGCTACAGTAAATCGGAAGAATATTTTTGTTTTACTAAACAAAAATGTAAGACATATAATTAGTATAGACAAGGGAAACGGTTGAGAAATATTCTAAAATGTTGAGATCTTGAAGCCAAGAGAAACAGAACATTTGCAAGACTTCAAAGTCTATTTTAAAAAATATAACCAAGCTTTTTATGGGAATGCGAGTTGTAGAAGTAAGCCTTGTTTTATGTTATAGTGATTTTCTTTGTGTCTTGGAGAAATTAGAAGGAAAATGGACATCTCAATATTTTTTCCAGTCCCGTGGGTAGATTTAACACTTAACCTTTCATCATGCTACATGGTTTTACTTATCACTGTGAACGTAAATGCATTATAGTATGCTGGTTTCAGCTAAGCTGCAGGACATATCTGTAAACCCACTTCTGTTTGAACACCCACACCCTCTCTCCGTGTATAAAATTTTTGGTCATTTTCACATATAAACGTATAATAGCATTTCAATTTTTTTATGCCAGTCTCTTGAACTTCTGTGACAATTATTGACATCGGACTCCGTGTCAACAATAGAGCTTTGCTAAATAGCTGATGATAAACAGTGGATGGAATAGATGTGAATAATTGTGTGCCTCTTCAAGTGAGAACATTCAGTTCAGCATTCGTTTGGCTGATCTGCTGTGCTTTTGCCATTAGATTATTGTGTTTTTTTGTCATCATACTAGCTCACTTGACACTTTCCAATATAAATGCCATTTTACCGTAATATAGTCAACCTGCGTGGGACTGTTCACCATTGCGGGGTGTCTGTTGTTATTGCGGCCGGTTGCTGGTGATACGTGGCGTACCATGCTGTGCCCCCCCCCTTTCTGGTAAACTAAACGGTGTGGCTCGACGCCAGCAACAACCGTGTGAGGAGGCAGGTATGTGGGGGCACCTGAGAGCCAGCCAGAGAGAAACGCCTTTCTGAACGCAGAAAGAGAATGGCGCCAGAACCCAGAAATAAAATTATATGACAGAAATAGGAAAGACACCGGAAAGTACCCTTACAGACACCTTCAAATCCCTGAAGTTCTCGAGTTTCACAGAACCTCTAAGACAGCAATGAGGCAGGTCCCGAAAAGTACCTTTAGAGACACTTTCAAATCCCTGAAGTTCTCTAGTTTCATAGAACCTTTAAGACATAAAAGGGGAAAAGACCGTAAAATACCCTTACAGACACCTTCAAATCCCTGAAGTTCTGTAGATTCAAAGAACATCAGAAGTGACAGATCTTCTCTTAGGAGTTTTATATAAACATCATTTGCGTTTTGAAATGTATTAAACATACTTCAAGTCACTGATTATGCAAATCCACAATTTTTGTACACATTAACAAATCCACGTTCTTTTATATCCATTGCATGTACTTTGTCTATTGGCTTTTATTGCCGAAATACCTTATTCTGTTCATGCCAGCTGCACCATTTAGTACTGGCTGCTCTCCTTTATCATTGTAACTTAATCGTTTTTGTCAGTTAACTGTGTATTAGGAAGGAAAAATCTTCTACTGCTTCACAGAAAAATCCATGATTGGTATCCTAGCAACAGCTTTCAAACACCCTGGACTGTTCAAGTCACCGTGGCTCTTGGTCAGAAAGAGACAGGTGTGGAAGTTTGTGTTTTCCGGTCTTCCTGCTTTCATCCTCCTGCGGCTTTCAATTTAATTGAACCTTGGCTAAATATATCCCTGCTCGTGACTGTAGCATGCAATTTACTCTACTGCTGCTTGATTTCCAGTAAGCGTATAAAATCTTAGGGACATTCTGAAGATCTGGGAAGAAGAAGAATGTCAGACTGTAGCACCTAGGTTTGATGAAATTCTGTTTTCAGCTCAGTTTCAATTTTCATGTATTTTATTAGTGTGTGTCTCTCTGTACATGATCCGGATAATAAGCTCAGCATATTTTGAACGCCACCAATAAGGAATGGTCCCTTGTCTTGCCACTTTAACAGATGAGCATAAAGAGAAGATATAACGACATACATCCATTCTGATCAATATAATTTATGGTGGTGGGACATGGAAATTCCTGAGACTTTCAAATACAGCCATTGTTAGTTAGCCTGGGAATACATTACTGTATCTGCAATTGGATAAGCTCCAAATGCATGTCAGATGATCATATTATTATTATTATTATTATTATTATAATTATATATTTATCCCATGTACCCCGGCCGTGTGCCCTATTCTGCCTCTGATAGGTTCCAGGCCTCCATTCAACCCCTACAAGGGCAAACCAACTGCATGGTGGGAAAATGTGTTGATTTACATCATAAGAAAATTGCTTTGTATTGGTTAGTATATTTTCAACAAACATTTAACGTTTGCTTGTATAATTCCATCCCCAGCCATCTTCTCAAAGGAAATTGCGTGACAGGGAGTGAATATCACTGGCAGATCAGGACTAAGGTTTGAGGAGAGAGTTAAACTCCCAGCTGAAGATCAAAATGAAGCACCCTCATCCATTAGACTGCCATATCATAAATAATACTGATGTGTCTTAGTTTAAAGAAATGGACAGGGATTTAATGTTTGAGAATGATGCCGTTTGAGTGCTTGCCAGTAATGGTCATTGTCGCACATTACGAGATGAAGCTCAGCTGAAAGCAAGACCATATTTGCCTCGTGCTGCCAAGTTCGACATACATTCTCAGTTTTTTTTTCCAAATAGATATTTGATTTCAAGAATGGAATTAAAAAAAAACAAAACTGTCAGCTCGTTATTTGTGAAATGCATTTTTTTGGACGCCCCCCTATTGTGTTTATTCTGAGTGCAGATTGGTTTCCAAATATGCCAGATGTTTGTTGTTGAGAAAAATAAACACTTTAACCCTTGTTTAGTCCTTTATCTTTTGCTAATATGTCATGCATTTTTGGTTATACTTATGGTAGCAGTATGGCTGCCTAGGTCAACCTGCTTTCAGAATATTAAAATAAAAAAGTAAAAAAAAAAAAAAGATTATGCAAAACATGCTTTAAAAATTGAATTCCCACTCAGTAAAAGGCTTTATCAAAACAACAACATAATCCACAAATACATATTGCCTACTGCAAAATCCAAAAATTAAACATATGGCAAAAAACATTAAACACGACGGAAATATTGACATTTACTTTAATTCACAAACAACTTTCCCTAGATCGTTTTCTCCAAACGTTCACAGCCGACTACGTGGTTGAATTTAATTATCCGTTAACTTGGCATAATCAATCTCCTCACACTGGAGACCTTGGTTTACAAATTCCCTTCAGCCTCTGGGTCTTTGCTTTGGAGGGAAATAAGTGCACTTGAAATTCAGTCAGGAAACCTTGCTGTCTGCTCCATGTTAAAATCGACATCATATTTCTTTCTGTCAAAAGTCAAATTAAACACCTGTATCTTGACTTTTAGAAGGCCTGCAGGGTTTGGCTCCTAATATATTTGGTAGTGCCCGAAAAGTAATACAAATCTATGTTTGTTTGTTGTCTGTAATAATACATTGCTATCTTTTATCATTATTTATAGAATACATGTGATTGCACATAGACCATATAAGAACAGACATAAAGAATAAGGTTGTCATCTTCGTGTTCCCAGAACAAAAATAAATGGGTGAATAAGGGATAGTATCCAACCACAGTACACTCTGGAAATGAAAGCAGAAAAAGCAGAAAATGGCTAAAAATACAGAATGTAACTTCAGTTTTGTCATGGAAATGTAGCTTGCATGAAATGAATTTATAGATAAGATTCTTGAGTGGTCTTCCAGTGGGAATAGCTAGGGGGCGCCTCCTCCCGTTGTCAAGATCACAAGCTGGGGGTGACTGGGGAGTGGGGGCTGGGAGCAATGGTGTGCAATGGGGGGAATGTAGGTGTGAGCGTTTGTAAACATTTTCCAGTATGGGGATTGATTCTGAGACGTGTCACTTACACCTCTTTGCAGAAACTCTCTTGAACTCGGGTCATACACAGCAACCGAATCATGCATGTAGATGACTAACGATATTCATGCAGAATTTTGGCTTTACCCTCAGTGTCTCTGAGTCATGCTGTCCAGCTTCCGGGATTCAGCCTGTGTGAATTTGGATGGATTTTGCCAGCACTCTGTGTGAGTGGCTGTTTTTTTCACTTTCCCTCACATGTCAGGACTATTACTATCACCCTTCTGCCCGAGATTAACGGAGGATGTGGGTATATTAAAAGGGAGGCTCGTATTTTATTAGACTTGATGGACTAATCTGAATGAGCCATTTGCATCGTGGACCAAATTTCTTTTAGCTGATATACATTTCATCACTCTACTGAGAGTTCCATAGTCATCAGTATTCTGACGCCAAATCCGATTCGGAATAGAAGGAAGTTTCATGTCCTCCCAAATTCCGTTGATTGAAAATTGTACACAAAGTACATCTGTTTGAGAATA